CTTGTTCATTAACAAGGTGCTCACAGCTTTATATGCACCGGCATTATCCGTGACTACTTGAACCACAATATTTTCCCCAATCTCTTCGATGACTCCATCGAGCAATTCAAATAACTTCTATTCGTCTTTCACACAGTCGGACACATCAATAGTCTTCAAGAAGACGGTCCTATGTTGATTGTTGAGAAAATTGATCAAGCTTCTATTTCTCATGTCTGACCAACCATCTGATAACAACGGGACCTCGGGATCTTTCCACGTTGCTTTGATATCATTTACTATTTCAGTAGTGTGTTTTCACTTTTTCTTTCAATATCTATGTCCTCATCTTGTGCATTTTAGGAGCTTGCAATCCACGACCGTAATCCCTAGCAGAACCCAACATGCTAAAGTAAGAGGGACTTGTTGCAACATTGAATGGAATCCCTTTATTGAAGAAAAATCTTCTAATGTCCATACACATTTGATCGTGGAGAGCCTTAGCATTGGACTTAGAGACACATTTTTGTTGATTTTGGGACCTCAAACCCCCCTAGCGTTCAAGTTCTCAGCGGGAATGCCACTTCCACTTGTACCTCCACTTCTATTACCAGCAAAGTAAGAGCCATGATCAGTGGTTCCCTTAAAGTTTTGTTGAGAAATGCACTTTGCATCTCGAAAGTTCTTTAAATATTGTACGATCTCGTCCTTGACGTCTAAAGGAACTTTTGGGCATGATACAACATCTTTATACTTGGACGGGAAAAAATCATGTGAAACAAAACATTAAGATGGAAGTTCTCGTGGATCTCACAAATTTTGGAGTTCTCAAATGATTAAGCCCCTAAATACCTAAAAGTCTAAAACAACATATATACAACTTACAAGTTTGAGTTACCAATAATCCAACATATAGAACAGATTATATGCAATCTGTTACCAGCATATAAAACAGAATATTTATATAAATTATAAACAAATTATATATTTACATAATTACATAAAAACAAATTACATACAAAATTATAAACGTATTACATAAAAACATAGTATTTATATAAACCAGAGTTTATATACGGATATACCAATTACCAGCCATTAGATTTAGATCAAGCAATGAATCAAGTGTGGAACTGTGGATAGCACTGGTTACGAACATATATACATGATATGAATAATGTAGCTAATTACATTAAAACAACATATATACAAGTTTTAGTTTGGGTTTGTGCTACCAGCATATATACGTGATATAAGTACAAAACACATAGAAGTTGGGTTATCGGCAATAGAAGATGCATCATACAAAGAACATGCAATATATAAAAGGTTTTATGAGAAGTTGGGTTACGAGCATATGTACACGTAAAAAAACAGAATAAGTATACGGTACACAAACATAACATAAGGGTGCATTTGGTACGCAGACAGGACATGACAGAACAGGACAGCTGTTCAGCGTTTGGTAAGACATGACAGGATTGGACAGAACTGGTTAAAATGACCAATTTACCCCCAGTGAGCTGTTTAGTGTTTTTTTTAACTAAATAATCAATATAAATGTTAACAAATACGGTGTGCAAAGTATAACTTACATCAAACCACTACTACTTGCAAAAATATATTTGCAAAAATACATGATTTCATAATCAACTAATGATATATGAAAAAGGTAAATATAATATAAGYATCAAGAATCCATTATCGAAGCAAATCTATATGCATTCCATACGAAGAAGAAAAAACTACTACCAACAAGCGCACAATCAATTAAAATGGATTAAATATCAAATWRTAAATAAAATATAAGCATCAAGAAAACAATTTGGCTAGTGATCCCATATAGTACCATCACATTCACAAAACTTGGATTCCAGAAAACTAAAGAATTCACCTATTACATGTACAATCATTCCTGTAAGATCAAAATCAAATATTTACTACTTTGATAAGGGGAAAACATACAAAACTCATCGAAAACAATAAATTGCAGGCATGAACCTTACGCAATACGTTTGACGGTGATAAAATCAAGAAAACAATTTATGTAATTTATTAAATTATAATAGAATAATTATTTTTTATAACAAAATATATAATTTGAAGTTTTAGTCAAAACAATTAAAATGACACCAAATAAAAAGTTTATGTGGTTTTCTATTTTTATTTTTATCTCTNTATTTTTTATTATTAATATATAATAAATTACATAAATTAATAAAAATATAGAAACCGTATAAAAATAATATTTTGAGGATAGTAAAATGAAAAGTTGAAGAAACATAAAATACAATAAATAAATTTAAAGAATGAATAAAATGTAAAAGAGACCTATTTGATGTTTCATAAGAGAATTAAGTTTTATTTTGAGGTTATATTGGTAAAATATAAGTCTGTTCCACCTTGTTCCATGGGGTAGGGGTGGAACAGGCCTGTTCCCCTTTGTTCCACTCTGTTCCTATCTGTTCCACATAAAATTCATGCCAAACATGGGATAGGGATCCTTGTTTTGTTCTGTCATGTCCTGTCCCTCCTGTCCCTGTCCAGTTTACCAAACGCACCCTAAAAGAACATGTAGCATATAGAGTTTGGGTTACCAACAATAGAAGATGTCTTGGAGAGAACTGAGAAGACGCAAAACCAGCAAAGAAGTCTCTTGGAGAGAAGAAGCAAACCTCAAAGAAGTTTTTGACTGGTTTGGTACTGATTAGTATTCAAATTGGACTTGGAGAGAAGAATGAGACGGGAGAATTTAATATGGTATTGAAGTGGTTGATGGTTTGGTGTTGAATTGGTCAATTATTGATGGATTATATGCAATAGTCGATGCGGATTAAGTTTCTATGTTACAGTGTAACTGTCAAAAAAATTTGCGAGACGTAGAAAAATATGGTAGTAGGTCTCTTTTAAGTTCTAATCTTTACCTTAAATAAAAAAATAAAGATTATCAGCGATTTTGGCATAAACGTGCGCCTCACCAATCAGGGGTGTACGTTCGATCTGGGGGATCAAAGGCGGTGCAACATAGACGATTTTGGACCGAATCATGCCTCAGGCGTTTTTTAAAACCATGAAGGACACAAAGTGAGACAATGGAATGGGGCCTTTTTGGTGGATTCTCTAGTCCTTTTTCTTATAGCAATAGGTAGGTGTAGGTCTTGGTCTCAGGACAAGGTGGTTTAGAGCTAGTAGGATAAGGTGGACAATTTGGATTTGATTCACTCATTGTTACCTAATTCTTGGAGGTCACTTTGGAGGATTATTCTTGCCTTTTTTAGCCACCATGGGATATTCTTTCCTTGCATACAGTTGGTCAAATTGGACAGAGTTGGAAAAAATTCAAGAGGTCCTTTCAACCCATGAGACCTTGGATCTGATTCCTTATCATGTGTATGTAACTCCCCCTTGAAGATAAGGAGTGGTGAAATACGACTTACTTTCAACAAATGTAACATTGACCGAGTTATGGAGTGATGGATGATGACATTTGGAATACTTGTAGATGAGCAACCCACGAAGATATATATAAGAGCATGTGGCGTCTAACATCCCATGATTATGATTATGGAGTGGACAAAGGAGTACACCGAAAACACAAGGATATAGAATTTGGATTATCTAGTGGACTTTGAAGCCCAAGACCCTCGGAGGAAGTCTGTTTAAGGTATTGTGATTATAGCTTTTCCCCATTATGCTTTTGGCACATTTTGTTGGAACAATAAGGCTCTATTGCACTTGAGATGTTGGTTTTTCCTTTCCGGCACTCCATTTTGTTATGGAGAGACAACACAAATAATCTAGCCCAAAGAGACGTCTCAATTGATGCCCCATTTTATTAATTTTATTGCAATTAAGTCATAGTCCTTTGTTCCGAAGCTCATCCATCTCTCACATTTGAGAAGGTTTTTGTTGGTTGAAGATGCCAATGTGGAACTGCTGATGGTTTTGAAACATAATTCGTGAATATCCTTGGTCATCCATCTCTATTCTTGTCCAGTTCTTGAATAAATTTCTAGTCCATCCCTATCCAATTTGAGGAACCACACTTGTGCATTGTCATCATGGTGGTAGCATGCAATCTCAACCTTCTCCTCGAATATGTGTTTGCATGGGAAGTTGTGTTCACCAATGATTCGTCTAGACCAGCAGATCATTTTACCATTATAGACTGGAAATTCAATTAAGCTATATATGGGAGTTGCATTCGTCCGTCCAAATGATTGGTAGCAAGCTGGCCCGGACACCCATGGTTATCAAAAAGAGTTCTCCCTGCTGTCCCACTGCATGCATGACAGCCAGTCTCTTTCGTGATCCTTTTGGTACATCTTCAAATCTCAAATGTCCTCTCCTGATTGTTGCTTACCTGTAACTCTCGGGCCTCGGCTTTGATACCAAGTTGTAATGGTCCCATATGTGTGATCGAGTTAGGGGTCCGAGTGTTTATGGGATTTTCTTTCCTGACAACCTATTGTAATAAGATGAAGAGAGGGCTTGATAGGGAGAACCCAACAATCGCATGAACACTTCTTTTGATAACATTCAGATTGTTTTATCCTGTTTTTCCTAGTATACATTTAAAGGACTAAAATCGTAACCATTTTCCAATTAACATGCGACTACTTAATCCTACAACCCATGAACTCTATCCTAAATAGCCATCTAATCTTAACAATACAAAAGCAATAAGAAAAAAAGAAAAAGTATGTACAACTGAATATCTAAGTCAAGATCACTTCATGCTTCAATTAATTTTTATCTTCTCTCTCTTCTGTGATGCACATTTCCCTTGAATATTTTATCCACGTTGCTGCTGGTCGTAACACATTTTCTTTCCGAAATCTTTTAAAGTTGCCAAATTGTTTATCATCATTACATATAAATTGGTAGTATTAGTTTGGATCCACAAATACAGAGGTATTTATCCTGTCAAAATACTTTTTTTATATCTGCATTAATATTTTTATCTATTAATCTCAATGTTCGTTTAAATTGAGTTTGCTGTTTTTTCTCTCTGTGCAAAGGAAGACGTAAACCGCAATTGGTACTCCTTGACCATGGTCTTTACAAAGAGCTTGACACTTACACAAGGACCAACTATGCCGCATTATGGAAGGTTCACCTTGCGATTTCTTTTTTTTTATTTCACAATAACTCGGGATTTAATCCCAAGATGAATCTCTATCTTCGCTTAGTTCATCTATGTTTTACTTGTTTTCTTCGGAGTTCTTTAGAAAATGGAAAAGAGCTTCTCAAAGAGAAGAGAAATGCAAAAGCAAAAAGCAGTGCTGAAATGAGACTTGTATTACAGGCTTTGGTATTGGCTGATGTCAGCGCAATCAAGGAAAATTGCATGAAATTTGGTGCTGGAGAGGATCTGTATGCGTTTTTCACTAGCATTCTTACTATGAAACCATGGGAGAGAGTTATTGATCCGGCTGTTGATCATTTGGCCATACATGATCTATCAGAACTTCAGGTGTGGTTGCACTGTCAAATCTTTCTTTTTTCACTCTTGCAATATTTTGAAGCATCCTCTCCTACCCACTCTAAGCGGTACCATACAGCCTTTTGCAGGAATGGAAATCCATTAATATTTAGAAATTAACCTTTCTGAAAGCCTATATGAATAAGGGTTCTGTTGGAGAAACTACTTTTTCAGATCAGATTCTACTTTGTACTTCCAATACTTTGGAGTATTCCTCTCCTACCCACTAAACGTAATTTACTGTGAAACCCCTGTAATGTATTTGAGAACAAAAACCTGGAATATATATATATATATAGAGAGAGAGAGAGAGGAGAGAGATAGGGGGGTTCAGACGAGAACAATAACCAAATAAGAGAACACGAAAAAGGCCAACGTGCAAAATCACATGTGATTTTACACTAACGGTTAATGCACGAGTGTGCACGTGACTTGGCCGTGACCTCAGGTTGCGGCCTTAGTCGGGTGAACCACATGTGATTTTACACGTGATTTTACACGTGATTTTAGTGAAGATCACATGTGATTCTAGTGTAAGATCACATGTGATTCGACGTTTTCTTATTCTCTTATTTGGTTACTGTTCTCATATGAACCTGATAATACACACACATATATATATACATATATATATATATATATAGCGAGAGGGAGAGAGAGAAAACAAACTACTACTTCCTCTGTCCCAAAATAGAAATCCATAATGAAAAGGACACAATTTTAGAAATGTGTGATTGTTACACTTTTTAATCAAGTAAATGACACAATTTTTACCTTTAATAATAGAGGAAGTAATGAATTTCTCCATCTCATAATTAAGGGTAGATTGGAAAGCATACACCTGCTTTTGAAAGTCGACACTTATTTCGGGACAAACTAAAATAAAAATGTGGACATTTATTTTGGGATAGAGGAAGTACTAACATTATTGTGACTTAACTGTACATTCTGTTTTGCAGATATACGGTCCTGAGTATTTCTCTCAGGTCACAGAGCTTCTGCGTAGACTGCCTCGTGTTATACTTCTAATGATGAAAACAAATGATTGCTTACGTTCAGTCGACAATGCATTGGTAGAACATCTCCCAAATATTATAAAAATGCACGTTTTTTGTGATGATTTTTACTCGTTTCAAATATAGTCTTAACATATTCCCTTAAATTTGAAAAATGAGCCAAAGGTCAGTGGCCCAAAAAAATCCGGGTTAATGCTAGATCCCAACCTCTTTGGAGGTTGAGGTTTCAAGGCTCACCAAATTCGAGTAGTGTCTGTGAGTTTCGTCATATATAGATATTATAATCTTCAAATAGGAAACTTTGAGAAATGAAAAAGAACTGGACCCATTTAACACCTTCTGATGTTCTTTTTTTTTTCCCTTGAACAGTTGCAAAGACCTTCTCTCGGGTCGTTCTTGATCATCGGCAGAGTTTCATCTGAGGCAGTTATGAAGGAGAAGTTATCACATGTCAAGTCCTTATTTAGCTTGATAAGTATATGGTTGGAAGAGATCTCACTAGAAGCTCGGTTCTTAATAATGCAAGTAGCCTTGTGGGTCCTACAATTCCGGAAATCTTTGAGCTTGTGAAGGGAACATCATATACTAAAAACTCCTAGAGGCTTTGATACATAGAAGAAAGTATTTGGGTCAGTTTGTTATGTTTGCATATTCTTCTGCACAACACCAAGATAAATGCATCTTTCATTGATGCAAGAAATTCATGCCATTTTTGATATGGAGCTTTTGAGAGATTAGTACATAAAATGAGATCAAAGTTGTACTCTTTAGACATCAATTAATGGGGAAAACCCCATTGATTCGAGACAAATTTGTTGAAACTCTTGATGATTGACCATTTGAAGCAAGAACATTTTATTTCTATTATGTTTACTGAACTGGGTTTCTGTTTTGCCATCGATTTGCAGGGGGCTTACTTTACCTAATCCAGCTAATCAGATGAATGAGGTAACGTTAATAAATATGATTTCATCCTATAAATTACCAGTTAGAGTTGCATCTTGTAGAAATGTATGTCCAATTTGTACGAAATGCACAGTGAGATACTTGCTACTCCATTGCCAAGGGTGTCATTGTACTGCTATATTGTCATGGTTCAATACTTCACTAGAAGCAGGAAAAAGGCTCTAATACCATTTGGGTGGTAGTATTACTATGTTTATATCTTTAGTGTTACTTGAAGCATATTATCAATATGGTCCATATTCGTATTTGTGGTCAGTGTTCATACATATCATCTTCTTTAGAATCGAAATAAACAATGCTCTCATATTTGCACAATTCTTATCATGGGTCATGTTTGTGATCCTCTATATCATCATGCTTAATAGATTATGTTGTGGAATTGGTTACGCTCTATATCATCATGCTTAACGTGTAATGCAATTGGTTGAACTCATGTCTGGGTACATTCTACCCCGACCTCAACATTGGATTTACTGGTTTCATTTGATTTGGTCGGTTTAGTTTGGTGATATATTAATGCTTGTTTGTCAATATTTTTGCATTTTAGACGCAAAAATAAGCAGCAAGCGGGAGTATGGTAGTGTTTGTTACGCATACAAGACTAGACTAGACTAGACAGGTAGAGACAAGAGAATAATACTGGATATAACAAGTTAGGTATCTGGTGTTTAGCATGACTAGAATCAGACAGGACCGAGCTGGATCAGAGGTAGTGGAAGTGGAGGTGGTCGGTGGGGGTGCTCAATAGCCAACTGTGGTTGTGGATGATGTGGAGAAGGTGGATGGTGGTGGTGGCGGCCGATAGTGGTAGATATGGAGGTGGAAGTGGTGGTTGTGATGCCGTTAAGTGGAGATAAAGGTGGTGATGGACGGTGGTAGGTATTCAAATAGAAATTGATGGATTAATAATTTGGGATGGATTCTTTATGAGGGTGTGGGGGTGTAGTGTCTGGAATAAATGCCTGTGCCTCTGCAGTCTGCATGCCTAATTTTATGAAACTCTGGTCGCTGTTCAATACCCAATATTGCCATCTCCTTTACCCCAACAATTAAATATGATATGTTAATTGCATTTATTATATATCTTCTTTTAATTTATTAAATGCATAATTCTTGTCTGGATCATCACATCTTATCTTTTTTAGAAGAATATGATCACAACATTTTGGGGTTGTTTGTTTACCTCTTAATAATTTCATTAAAAGACCTGAATCGTTAAGAGGTGAATATGTTTGGCCAAAAAAAAAAATCTGTCTCTTAATGGTTCCAAAACCCTCTGAATGATTTTATATCATGGACCTCCCTTAACCATTCAATGTCATAATTTCATTGTAAACAATTATCAAATTATTATATTTTATTATGTATTATATCATGAGTGTCATTTAATCATTTTGTATCAAACCAGTAACTGCTAAATAGTCTCTTTGTAAAGATTAAAAAAAGACATGACGTCATCTTTCCTTCCATCTTACCATTTCCATTTTCGTAATCGTGGGTCATAGGTGGCGTCTGTAGTTGGATCACATTGATTATGTAATAAGGATGGGTGAAGATGTGGACTTGATAGACATGTTGCTCAAACACATAAAAAAAAATGTGATAATTATCGTAAGGATATTAATCAAAAGCTTAAAATTATCGTATTATGATCAGTATTTGGAAAAAATTAGGAAGAAACTCTCTATTCCTCGTGAAACCGAAGAAAGATAGCAAGGAATATTGGAGTTCATATGCGTTTTTAAAGGGAATTTATCGCAGCTCCCAGAAGGTATTTAGATAAAAAGTAAAAAAGTCGAGAATTATTATGTTAAATCTTCAAAGTTAATGTGAGTTTAGTAGTATATAATGTTAAATGAATGGATTAGTGTGTGAATGGAGTTGAGAAAGAGGGCTTTAAGGCCATGGTATTAAGCATAGATGCAAAGTTTATGGTAATGTAACCATAAGGGTGGTGCCTGATTGGTTTGAATTTGACTCTAAAGGTCAAAAACACCAGGAGTTCCCAAGTTCAAATCCAAGGAGAAATAAAAATCCCCTTGTGGCCACGGAGGTTCAAATGCGATGACTCCGAGCTATCTGCTAAGCCGGTGGTCGTCCTGGGATTAGTCGGCTCGCATAGCGGGTTGGATATCCAGGTTAATTAAAAAAAAAGTTCATGGTAATGTTATGAACTAACAATATTTTGTGGTGTTTAAGTGCCCGTTCGTTGAATTAAGGAAACTATTAACTTGTAATCTCGTTCTGTTGCTCCAATCAAATTATGTGTAAAGGTACGTGTCAATAATAGTTGTAAGGGCGGTTATGTAAATGTAGGGGTGCATATATATTTTCAGTGGTACCGGAGAGAGAAAAAAGATGATGTGTTCGCGTTTCATTGAAGGAACATGGCGGAATAAGAAAGGTGACCTTCTTTGGTCTACGTATGTAAAAAGAGAGGTCTTTTTCCCAATACTTTTAAAAAGCTCTGAGATGTTTACAACAAATCTCTGTGATCGGAACGTGACCTTCTTTTGGTCTACGTATGAAAAAGTCGAGAGATATTAAATCTAGTTAGATATTCGACATCAACAATGCATGGATTTTTTAAAATTCGTATAAAATCGATTATAACCCTGATTGAAGTGATTTTTGATTTTATAGAATAAAAAATTCCTCTAAAAGTTTTGTTTAGATATTTTATTCTAAAATCTCGTTCAATATGAGAAATATTTGGATTTTGTAACTTGTTTAGTGCTGGAATGTTTCTGTTTCAGTTTAGCTGATTTTGAACGTATTATGGTACATGTTTAGAAGTGCAGGTGTGAATGCATTTGCTGAACTCAAGTTAAACTATTCATACAGTGGCCTAATCTGTTATGAAGTATTTTGGTCTCAATTTATTGTAATGAAAGGGTACATGTTTAGTATTTGACCTAGTGAGTCTAATGTATATGTATCGTTGTTCATATGAGTATGATTTTAATGTTAGTCCAAATTCAGAAACCACGATCGGATGAGTTTTTCATGTGTTTTCCCAACGAAGTACATGACCAATATGTTCTTATAAGTATATGTGCGTGTTGTGTGTCTATAGTTATTTAATTGTTTTAGCATATTACTGGTATTTTAAAGTATCAATATATAATTAGGCATGAAAAGTCGTTTGATTAGATATGTGTACGGGAACACATACATCTCATATTAGAAAGTCGTGTGGGTCCATTAAGTAATAATACATGCACAAAATCCTTTCCAACCTACCAAACAAGAAAACCGATCTTGGTTGCCTAACACTTTTGATCATACGACTTTATTTTCTTCAATTAAAAAGGACACGAAAGTAATTTGATTGCACCACCCTTTCCAAATTATTAGAATAAAATAATACAGTGAAAATATGAAGAAAAAAATATATCAATATAAATATCAAATTAAATATAATATATGTTTGCTTTTATATACCATGTTTAATTAGTATATTATTATATCTATATTTTTATTATATTATAAAACATTTAGATTTTCATCTCTTACAAATTTTAATTTCCATTTTACCTTTTTATAAACAATAAAAATGAACCTTTCCATTCGAACGGATCAAGTTCTGTAAATATACAAACTTATCTCGATTTAAAAAACTAAATCATTTAAAATATAATTAATGTTTTAATAAAAGAATTATATGAAAATGATTGTTTTTATTATCTTTAATTTGATACTCATATTAATTTTTTTACTCAGTTTTCAATATTTTAATCACGAGTATATTCACATCTGAATATATCCATACAATATATCTATTATATTATGCAACATTTAGGACTAATTATTATATATATATATACAACTTATTAATATATTTGAACTTTATAAATCTTATTGATAACCAATTAATAAAAATTTCAAATACAAAATAAGGGTTAAACCATACTTCATAAAACTGACAATGAACAAAAACTCTTTCAGTCTCTCAATCAAACCACACAAATTCATAAATAAAATCGAGGTACGAAAAAACGATATATTGCAACTCACGGATATACTCCAATTTAATCCTCCCTACGTCCCAAAATAAGTGTCCAAAATAGAAATGACACGGATTTTAAACAAACATAGTTATTACACTTTTTATGTAACCATAAGACGACTTTATCTTCAACTAATCTATCTTTGAGTAAATTATGGATTTGGTCCCTATGATTTAACGAAAATTATGATTAATGTCTCTAAACTAAAAAAATTATGGATTTGGTCCTCGTGGTTGTATTTTTACATGACTATGTTCTCTCCTTAACTTTGTTAATGGTGACTCAATTAAATCAGGGGTATTTGAGTTTTTTTTACCTTTTTTTTTATTTTTCATTATAATTAAAAAAATATTATTTTATTTTATATGTATTATATTATATATATATATATATATAGGGTTAGATTCACGTGAAACCATCTTGTTTCTTTGAGAGCCGTGAGACCATATTTTTACACTTGAAACTTCACAAGAAAACATTACGAAGGTAAAAAAAAACTGAAACTTCATATTAAAAACACCGTAAATGTTATCTTCACGGTATTTTACGGTGAAGTTTCAAGTGTAAAAAAGTAGTATCACAAGTCTCATGAAAACAATCTGGTCTCACATTATCGCAAGTCTATATTTAACCTTCTCTTACTATTCATGAAAATCTAACAAAGTAACAAACCATAAGCTGTTTTTAGATCCAGCTATTTTCAAAATTTTAAATACTTTACTAATCCAAAGGGGTGGATTAGTCATTTGTTCAACGATATTTATTCATATTATTTTTATTTGTTATTAATTCATTTACCATGTATGCAATTAAGGGTGTTTGTGTTTTTTTTAATGGATTATAAATATTAAACTTAAAAAATATATATAATTTAGAATTTTAGATTAAATATTTATTTTAATAAAACAAAATATCCAAACAAATAAATGTAATAATTAAGCAACTCTTGAATCTAAAATCCAAGCATTCCAAACTCCAAACAAATAAATATATAATATATATTAGAAAACAAACAAATTAACAAATTTACAACTTCACTATGAGTATTGAGTAACAAAATTCACGACTTCACACCCTTCAATTCTTGACCAAACAAAACAGAAGACAAATCTTAGTTGATTGAATCACTTGGTTGACGTCTTGATGATGTGCGCCGAAATCAAACCTTGGATTAGGAAAGATAGATAAATTGATAGAGTTCTTGAGGGATTTAAAAATTTGGAGACCGTCAATGTCAA